ATGTTTCTGTCTTTCCCATGACTGAGCCATGATCTTCTTGGACATTTTCTATTATGTTTAGTTTCAGAAACTAACACAGTCCGTCATGCAGCGAAAGGTCAAGTTATGCCAACTTAATGAACATACAAAGGTGCTGTATATGCATAGTTCTCTGGCTCCAAGTCACTAACTCTGCAAGTCAGTTACCATTTAAAAAGTCCCTCCTCAACCCCCACTCTAGATACATGTATACACACACTCTACTAATTGAGATAATTTTAAACTATTTTTCACATATTTACTTAATTAGCTTGCAGTGACCTCTGCAAAAACACTGGCCTCTGGTGATTATAAGAGGTAGTTTTCTGGCATGGACACCAAAGCATCAAAGCGTCAGCTGGGACCAAGGAAAGCAATAACACAACTGGTTTTAATCACTCCTGACAGGCAGCTGAATGTATCTGCCGCAGTCTTCTCCCCAATACATCACTCAAAACAGACCAGTCACAGGAAATGGTGGAGAGGTAAAAAGAAAAAAAAAGAAAGAAACAGGATAAGGCCAAAATGTGTCCATAATACAAAGCAGATCATCTTTCCCATGGATGACCTTATTCATTTTGTTTTATATTTTTATGATGGTCCTGAATCTATAATATTGTCGACCCCTTTAGACTTGGCATGCTTCTACGCTGGTGCTTAGAAGTCGTGGCCCAGGATCTCAGAAGAGGAGGTGGGTGAAGATTGTACCCATTCCTGAGTTACTATATAAGCCAAGGGGTCCTCCAGAGTTCAGCTTGACCTACAGGCACATTTGCAGTTATTTTGTCTCTGGAGTACAGGTGAACACCTTCTTCTTCTATTCAACATTCACAGAAGGACTAACCTCATCCCTGACCTGATTGGTTCTTTGGACTTGTTGCTTAGCAGGAAGCAGGTGAGAATTAGGAGCTGCTTTGTTCTGACCTACTCAGAGTTACAATGTATCTCTCTCATGAGTACACCCTCTCCCATGATGCAACTCTGGGCTTTGGGTTGGCCATAGCCTTGGGTTGACTCATGTACAAAGGAGAGAGAGAGAGAGAGATTTTCTTACTAGGAAGGTTTTTACCTCATGACCTAGTTTTCTCGCTACAATCTCCTGAATGCCTGTTTGATCCCTGAGCTCCCTGCCCTCTTGTTCCTGGGCATTTCCTGTCTGGCCAGCTTGTGTCGTGGGGTCACTGTTTGCACCAGTCTTGCTCAACCCAGTGCTCAAAGGACTTCAGAAGACCTTGGTTTTTCCTGCTGCTTTGTTCTGACTCCTGTTTGATGCCTCTGGAAACTTAGACTGACTCCTAGGTCTTTCTACTACTGGTAACCCTGCCTGTTAGACTTTCAACACCAGTTTGAGTCCCTGCTGAGGACCTATGCTGAAGACTGAGGCTCTAACCATTTATGCTCCACTGAGGAGCTGGGATTTAACAGAGGAAAGAGCACTAAGCAGGCAGTTACAGGGCCACAAAAGTGCTGTGATGTGTGAAGCAGAGGGTGTTGGGGTAGCACGTAGTGGGGGCACCTAACCACATGGCACGGGGGAGGAGGCGGGGGTGGTGAGGGAAGCTTCCTGAGTCAGCAACATCGGCACTGCCTGGGCCAGACAAAATGGTCAGAAGACATCCTACTCGAAGGGAGTCATACCTGTAAATGCCTTGAGCCGTACATCGTAGCTTCTTCGGGGGACTACGAGGCGTTCAGTGTAGCTGCTGGGGGGTGGGGGAGACCAAGGACTGGCAGGGAAGTGGGGGCTTGGCTGGGAAAGTCTTCATTGTCATTCTAAGGAGTGGAGTTTGCACTAGGAGTGATGGGGAGTCACTGAACGTTTATATGTGACACGGTCGTGTTTGTGTTTTGGAAAGATTGTCACCAGTGTGGAGAATGGATTTTACCATCTGTTCCCCGGAACCTTGTGTTTCTGGGCTCTGAAGAGCTCAGCTCCAGGCCCCTTCCCCCATCCATACCCTCAAACAAAACTAGTGATCCGAATGAGCTCGGGCCTCATCCAAAGTATACGGATTCTCTGAGCCTGCTTCCGAACCAGGCTGTCACGAGGACTGAGCCTGTGAGCCTCTGTTTTAGGGAAGTTTCCCAAATGCTCCTGAGGCAGCTGGACTATGGACTGTCCCCCGCCCCACAATATAGATGTGCTGATAACACCAGCGGTGCTGGGCTCCCTGAATGAGACTGCAGGTGGCTGGAGTCGGTCCCACTCTGAGTGTCTTCCTTTCACAGATCCCGACACTGCCCTCAGGACCAGAAAAACCAGTCCCTCGCTCGCACCCTCAAGGACCTTGTCTTGTTTTACGGATACCGTGTCCAGACCCTCACATGACCTGCGAGGCAGCTTGATCAGCTCCAATGGCCTCTCCCCTCAAGTCGCTCTTTCTTTCATCTCATTTTCTTTTTTTTAATCCTCACCCGAGGACATTTTTCCACTTTTTGTTCAGATAGAGTGGGAGGGAGAGAGAGAAAGAGAAACATCGACGTGAGAGAGACACATCGAGTGGCTGCCACCCGCACGACCCAACCAGGGCCGGGGACAAACTGCAACCGAGGTACGTGCCCTTAGCAGGAACTGAACCCGGGTCTCTCTGGACCGCAGGCCGATGCTCTAACCGCTGAGCCAAACCGGCCAGGGCTTTTTCATCTCATTATTTAACAGCATGAAAGGCAGATGTTGATATAATTTACTCTCTAATGCCCACATCCTCAATTAAATTAAGGGCAGATGTGGAGATTGGAAATTGTGTAGAGCAATAAAAATGTGGCACATTTTCAAGGAGAATGGAGAGTGACGGACTTGGGCAGAGCAAAGGGACTGCCGACAAACCCAGAGACCCAGTGAGTTAAAGGTCCTCTGCCCACATGCAGAGGACGATTGTGTCACTTCCTCCAGAAGCTCAGAAGCCCAGGAGCGGAGGACATTGATAATTGTGCCAATCCGTACCTGAGTCTTGGCAAAGCAGCAAGTCAAGAGGTAAGAGGATGGAGGGCACTGTTGTAAAAGAAAAACACTGTTCCTGGATGGACCTAAAAAGAAGATTCGGCTGATTTTCCCCAGGACACGGAAGACGAGGACGAGAGCGCCCGTTCGGTAATGGGCCACCATCTGACTTAGTTCTGCTCTGGCCCGCTCGCTCCCTGAAGGCTGCCCCATGTTTTCAGGTTCCCCCGGACTGTGCGGCCAGCAGGTGCCGGGGCAGAGTGGGGGGCAGAGTTTTCAGGACAAAAACGAAACTACCCAGGTAGCTCTGGAAGGCGGTAGTGCTTTGTGATACTGGCTTTCCTCCTCAGTTAGAGCTGCGTCTTGCAGGTGGGACCTTTACGGCGACAGCATGTCCATGCCGTCCATGGACCGTCTTTGCCTGAGTTGCTTCTGCCTGTCACAGGGGACTCATTCCACGCCGGATACCAACGCCCAGATCAAAATGCAGACGTGCTTCGGCACGGAGGCGGTGGAGTGTCTTAAAGACAACAGTAATTAAAACTAAATTACATTTGGTTGTGAAAGGTTTTCGATGATTTTTGACTAAACCAGTGCCTTCGATTAATCCGGTGAGTTCACGTTTCAGGTTGATCACCCCCATCTCCTCCCGGGGGGCGTCCGGATCAATGAGGTGCCCAGAGCCGCTGCAAGGGAGCAGGCAGCCTCGGGAGCCAGGTGCAGTGCATTCTCAGGGACACGTACTTGTATGCTCACAGCTGAAGTTTCCAGGGGACCTGTTCTCCTGAAAGGGGAGGCTCCCCTTCACCGAGATGCAGCCTTCTGTTACCAAACCACATTCATGTGACAGCACTGGGGGGCGAGCTGACCCCACACAGAAAGTGAAACCATATACTTCTTCTGTCGAGAGAAAGACTGAAGATGAAATTAAGTAGTGGGCTTGTTGTCGTAAGATAATTTTGACTGCCCCTCGTAATGAGGGGAGATTTCGTCTGAGAGAAGGAGCTGTCCCCAGCAGAAAGGAAGTGTTGGGTACCCCGCAGGAGGGCAGAGAGAGAGGGTCCAGACCTTGCTCTGTCCTCCATGATGCGGGTCTTCAGGGACTGGGGCAGCATTTTGTGAACGGGGCTCCCTTCCCGATTTCGATTCAATCATTGGGTGCAATCATTGTTTCTGAGGTTTCGCTCCACCTGTCTTTCAGAAAATCCAGAATGTTTCCATGTACTTCTGTGGTTAGTGGGAACTGTGCCTACGAAACCACCAGTCATTCCAGACATCACGGCACCCCTGCTCCCCACCCTCCATGAGCTCCAGACATCATGCACCCCTGCTCTCCACCCTCCATGAGCTCCAGGCATCATGCACCCCTGCTCTTCACCCTCCATGAGCTCCTGACATCATGCACCCCTGCTCTCCACCCTCCATGAGCTCCAGACATCATGCACCCCTGCTCTCCACCCTCCATGAGCTCCAGGCATCATGCACCCCTGCTCTCCACCCTCCATGAGCTCCAGGCATCATGGCACCCCTGCTCTCCACCCTCCATGAGCTCCAGACATCATGGCACCCCTGCTCTCCACCCTCCATGAGCTCCAGACATCATGCACCCCTGCTCTCCATCCTCCATGAGCTCCAGGCATCATGCACCCCTGCTCTCCACCCTCCATGACCTCCAGGCATCATGGCACCCCTGCTCTCCACCCTCCCTGAGCTCCAGGCATCATGCACCCCTGCTCTCCACCCTCCATGAGCTCCACACATCATGCACCCCTGCTCTCCACCCTCCGTGAGCTCCAGACATCACGCACCCCTGCTCTCCACCCTCCATGAACTCTAGACATCATGCACCCCTGCTCTCCACCCTCCATGAGCTCCAGACATCACGCACCCCTGCTCTCCACCCTCCATGAACTCTAGACATCATGCACCCCTGCTCTCCACCCTCCATGAACTCTAGACATCATGCACCCCTGCTCTCCACCCTCCCTGAGCTCCAAGGTGCTGTCCCGAGCAGCACTGTGCAGCCCCGTGCCCACCATGGTCAGGAGCGCCCGCGGCGGTGCAGCGCGAGCATCCACACCGGCACGCACTGCGCTGGGAAGCCGCCCTGCGGCTCCTGGCCCAGCACCGCCAGCCCGCTCTTCCGCACCAGGCTGTGCAGGATGCGCAGGTCCCGGGTCACGCTGCTGTCAGAGAGGTCCAGCGTGCAGCCCTCCCGAGCCACGTTGTCCTTCAGGATGATGACGCCGTGCTCTCTCAGGCCCTCTCGGCACCGGCGCAGAAATGCAAGGAGGTCTTTATCGGTCAGGTACCCTGCAGAGGAGGCCAAGGGGATGGGCAAACGGGGAACAGTGGGTGGGAAAGAAGGCGAGTAGGAAAGAACCGGGAGACCACGTGTTTACTCAGTCGTGGATTTTTACCAGCCTGGGTTGTTTTCATTGCAGAAGGCTTTGAGAATTTACATAAAAGGACAGTTATCTTCGTTGAGGGGGCTTGGTGCCCTGTCTGTAAAACAGATAGTATACTGCCTGGTCTATCTACCTCACAGGAATGAGATAAACTATTGCCCTTCCCGTGGGTCCTGTCCATGTCCCTCCTACAGTCCAACTCTGCCATTCATCTGTGTCTTCAACACACACACACACACACACACCCCAAAATCTAATTCACTGTTGTCTCATTTCCTGGGGATTTAAATCTAAGAAAGTCTGGTTTTGCCAGTAAATGGGAATAAACTTTTTTTGGCCCCACTTTCTAGTGTATTTCAAGTATTCAGATTTCCTCTAGGATTTAGCTCGGTCCAGAGGCACTCCACCCCTAAGGATGGAGACTGTCGGCTTCTCCAGAGGACATTAGGGGAGAGATCAGAAAGGCCAGAGCTTTTCAAGGTTTCTCCTGATACTACGGCCAGCTGACTGCTCCAGGCACAACTGCAGCTAGATCTCCCTTTGTGCCCTTGTTCCCTCTCTGCTGACCCTCAAATGAGCCCCAGTGCCGTCTTCTCTTTGTGGGGAGGGGAGAAGGGCAGGTGCGAGGCCATGCAGGACTAACCGGAGACCCACTGAATCCAGATGACATCGTATCTCCCCAGCGGGGGTGTGAATTTCTGCAGACTGCAGCAGTGATAGCTTTTCACCTGGTCTCCCTTGGCCTGCAGGTAGTGCTGGGCTTCGAGGAGGAACGAGTCCATCATGTCCACCAGCTCCACGCTGTTGAAAACTGGCAACAAGACATGCTTGCTGACCCTTCCGATCCCAGAGCCGCAGTCCAGGGCACAGTCCGTGCCAGCTCTCCCGGGCCCCTGCACAAAGGTACGGACACCCACTCTGAGCCTTGGACACTCCAGTTACCTCACGTCACCTTTATGTAGGTCAGTCTCATAAAATAAGATGCACTGTTTTAAGAGCGTCATTCAACGAGTTTGGACAGATGTGTACAGGCGCACACCTACTACTTCAATCAGATTATAGAACATCCAGTTACCTCTTCCAAAAAACACCCAAACGTCTCTAGTTTTGCTTGCTTCATTTTACCTGACTGTAGGTCTTTAAAAATTTTTCAAAATAGGATTTTAGAAAATCATGTCTCAGGTTTAAAAACTTGGTAATTTTCTCTAAGAAATGGGTCATTGAAAAGCCCTATGAAAATAGAGCTTTGTTACCTGTCATTCTGGGTCAAACCACAGCTAAGTGGGCCTACACTGTAGCTTCTTACTTGATTTAGAAGGCGAAGCTGGGAGAGCCCTTCTGAGGTTTGAAAGTACCTTAAAAATTTGTTCAATGAACACGTTTCGATCCATATTAGTGTAATTGAGATTTTCGTTGTTTTCAAAACTGGTTTGGGGGACTTTGAAGGATCTGTTCTTTTGGTAGGTTGGAAATTTTGAGAACCTGAGCTGAGCTCAGTCTCATGGTCAGACCAGGATGTCACTCCAGGCCCGGCCTCAGTGCCACACACACGAGCCGGCGGGTAACAGGTGGTGGTAGCAACGTCTGCTGTGTCTTCTCCTGCCGTTTGTACTGTTTGCTGCTTTTGTACCAGAAACCACAGGAGTCACTGGGCACAAAACCCCTTACGTGCTTTTTAAGTATGACTGTGCATTAAATGAATGAGGGTGAAGGATGGGGAGAGAGATGGCAAAGGTAGGGAATCAACCAGTGTAAACTTTCTCAAACTTGCTTCTGTGCAGTAATGTATACAAATGGTCATATACATATACCTGGTCATGTACATACACATGGCCAGCTGAATCTGTGAGATGTCTGTGCACACCTCTCCATTTCGCCAAGGCTCAGCTGGTCTGATTTATTAGGTCAAAACTGGGATGGCCGTTGAGTAGGTTTTGTGCCAGAAATTTCAGTAAAAGATATTTGAAGCTGCCAATGAAGATCTGAAGGAGAAAGCCCACTCTTGATTTCTCGGGAACGAAGGCTTTTTTAAAAATCAAAGATAAAACAAAATTTGGCCCGGCTGGTATGGCTCAGGGGTGGAGCGTTGACCCATGCGCCAAGAGGTCGCTGGTTGGATTGCTGGTCAGGGCACATGCCCAGTTTTTGGGCTCGATCCCAAGTAGGGGGCATGCAGGAGGCAGCCAATCAATGTTTCCTTCTCATCAATGTTTCTATCTCTCTTTCTCCCTCTCCCTTCCTCTCTCTCTAAAAAAGAAAAATCAGTGAAAACTTATTTAAAAAAATAAAACATTTGGCTAAGGATCAAAAGGTGAAGCTTGAGCAGAAGGAAAGGTCAGAAAGGTGCTTCTCAGTCCACCCAGAAGGCCTTCCTCCTTTCAAGAAAGGTGCAGTGAGCCCTGGCCGGTTTGGCTCAGCGGATAGAGCGTCGGCCTGCGGTCCAGAGAGACCCGGGTTCGGTTCCCGCTAAGGGCACGTACCTCGGTTGCAGTTTGTCCCCGGCCCTGGTTGGTCGTGCGGGTGGCAGCCACTCAATGTGTCCCTTTCACGTTGATGTTTCTCTGTCTCTCTTTCTCTCTCCCTCCCACTCTATCTGAACAAAAAACGGAAAAATGTCCTCGGGTGAGGATAAAAAAAAAAAAAAATTTACAGAAAGGTGCAGTGAGGCAGAAAATGAAGCAGCTGCAGCTACTTTCCAAACAGAATGCCGATACCCGGGATTTACGGAATGCTCGGAGTAGCAGGCTCGTTGCATCCATGAAAACTAGCACAATCGAAACAATTCCGCAAGATGACGATCGCTCCCCAGTCTGGAGGCGAGGGAACTTCGATTTATACTGCCACACAGTTCATGCAGAACGTCAATCTGAGCAGGAGCTGTGTGAGTCCAGTTCAGCCATGTCATGGACATCATCTTGATATCATTTATTTGCTAAAGTTAGCACATTTGCAGCAAGTTTGAACGCCGTTTCCCACCGCCCCATGTCACTAGTGTTGAACGGGAAGCCAGACTTTGAATTGGGACGATCTGCCTCGTCCCGGTTGACACAAGAATAAATCATGTCAGATCCTCACATTTCCTCCCCTCTTGTCTCTTGACCTGGACACTCATTTAGCAGATTATTAAGGTCAAAGTACCAAAATATCATTCTTTAAAAGAGACTGTGTTTGTACTTAGAGGTCCCAGCTTCCCAACGAGCCTTGTCCGCTGCGAGGGACTCCTGGTCTTTGTTTGAGAAGAGCCGCTCGCTGTTCTCCAACATAAATATGCAAGGCTGAGCCGTTTCCTTCCCCGGGCCGTGGGCGTGGGGACGGGCCCTGTCTGACCAGCATCCCTGTGGTCAGCTTGGCATTCCACACGGAGTGCGAGGACAGCGGATTACTAACTAAGCCTCCAAAATGCACGGGGATCAAAGTCAGCCTCGCCACCCGGCGAGAGGAGGCACTGCTGGCCGCCAGGCTGGAGGAGAGCTGAGGTCTGCGGTCCATCAGCAACAACAGAGACATTTTTAAAAGCAGGGACTTCTTTACTTCATGAGACAAATGGAAAAAAATACATCCTGGTTAAGAGCAGGGAGTTTGGTGTCGGGCAGACCTGTCTGGGTTTCGTTCCAGCTCTGTCTCTCACTAGCGATGTAACATGGACCCTTAACCTCTCTGAGCCTCAGTTTCCACAACTGTAAAGACAAAGATGATAATAGTACTTGCCTCCCAGAATCGTGGTGAAGAGTAAACGAGAGATGCTTCTGATGGGCTTAGCAGAGCGACTGAGCATCTCAGCAAAAGCTCTGAGTGAAATCAGTCAGGGACACCGATTTAGAAATACCGCCGGTTAACCTGGCCTGGGAACAGCCTTGGCCAGCACCCCCCGCTCTGCCGTCCTTACGGCTGCAGCTGAGGTCCAGACACTTTGGCCCCAGTGGGCGTTGTATCCTGATCCTATTTCTCTCCTCGGGCCCTCGGGGCTCCCGGGAGATTGGCCAGGAAGTAAACCTTACCTCAGCACTACGGATAGTCCTAATAATGTGCTTCTAAATAGGCTGACAACCTAACCCCAAATATTTGCAATATTCACAATGTTTCCTTTATCAGAACGAAATTGGCTCCAAATGTCAAACAAACAGCTTCGGAATGAATTGGCACAAAACTTGCTTGCCTGTCAGGACTCTACGGAGCCTGCAGGACTGACGACAGCTTCATTGTTCGAACAACTACACGAAGCTGCTTAGAATATCAGGAATGTGTTCTGGGAAAGCCTGCTATTATGAATAGAAGCAGTAAATTAGATTTGTTGGGGGACAGTTAAGTGCACTAAAGTGAGCACTAGGCAAGCAGGATCCCGTTTGACCATCACGTGTCCACTGAGGCAGGTTCTGTGGTTACGCCCTAGTCAGAGGCAAGAAAACTGAGGGCTGGAGCATTTAAGTCATGACACCAAGGTTGCTTATACAATGAAAAAAAAAACAAAAAGCAAAACCACAATGACTCTACAGCCCAAGATTTTGGCCCCTACTCTTCACTGTCTCCATAGGACGTGGAGGTAGGAAGTGGAGTTTCACCCAACACCGGACTGCAAAGGGATCACATCCTTTCAAGACATTGTCTGAAATCTGTATGAAATAATATAAAGAGGTTCTGTTGTGCTTACCGTTTTTATACCAGACCCATGCACGCATTCCCTTATGACCACATCACATTTTTATGAGAAGGAGTCGATCAGTCACCCCAAAATCCCAAATGGCATGATTTCTCATCAATCATCTGGCTGTAAACTGTTTATCTGTGAGACACTAAAGGAGATGTCTTCTTAACCACCCAATTGTAATATTTGTGCTAGTTCCCCCTCGCCTGAAGCATGAGCGATTGGGTGGCCTTCGGAGGGTGAAATACCAAGTGGGACAAGCCATCGGTTCGATGTCACCAGCCTTTCTGAACATCGCAAAGCAAGTTTTCAGGCCATCCTCCTAGCTGCACCATACAGTTTTCATAGGACAAGTCATCACACAGAAGCAGGTGAGATCAAGGTTTGCAAGAACTTTGCCTCCTCATCAAGCTGTAGTTGTATGACTCACCCCAACAAATTTCCTAAGAAAGTCCCGAGAGGCCTGGATATCTGGCTTGGACAGTTCAATGAAATTTCCCATCATCCCCTCTTCTGTAGCGGGCACTTCTTGGTAGAAAAGTTTAGCTCTGGCATAGAACTGCATCTCACCATTGATGACTTGACTGGTTAAAACATACAATTTCACTGCAAATAAAATAGTAATATTTATTAATGTTTATATGACAGAACACACTCAATCTTATCGCACACTGATTTCCTCCTAGAAGCCTGTAGATTGTTCTCTGGTGGAACTGAAGTCAGAAGCCCTGGGTCTGAGTTTGGCTCCATGACGTACTTGTTTTTAGCCTTGGGGAAATTTCTTTTTTTTTTTTTTTTTTTTTATCCTCACCCGAGGACACTTTTTCATTCTTTGTTCAGATAGAGCAGGAGGAAGAGAGAGAGAGATAAACATCGATGTGAAAGGGACACATCGAGTGGCTGCCACCCGCACGACCAACCAGGGCCGGGGACAAACTGCAACCGAGGTACATGCCCTTAGCGGGAACCGAACCCGGGTCTCTCCGGACCGCAGGCCGACATTCTAACCGCTGAGCCAAACCGGCCAGGGCTGGGAAATTTCTTAACCCCTCTGAAATTCTGGTCTCTATGTGTAAATCATAATCAAGTGCCATTTCTTTCATAATTTAATACCCTATGGTTTGATAAAACTATAGCTTATCACTGTACTAAAGAAGTTCAATAATGTTTGCTACAGCAGAATATAAATGTCACAAGTTTCACAGTGAGTTTAGTTTTTTCTTTGAGCTCCCAATGTTTTATCAGAATCTAATTATGAATCCTTCCTTCTAATCACAAAGTAGATTAGAGGTAGCTATTTTTTCATCTCTTTTTCAGGCAACTCATACCCAAATACCTCTTTGTACCAACATTGTAGAAAACATGCTTGAGCTCTCTCTTCTGAAAAGAAAATCATGAAAAGGGTTATGATATTTATTGAACAACTATTCTGGACCAGATAGTGGGCCAGAAACATTCTATTAGGATACACTATGTCATTTCATTGTTTCAGAAACCATATGAGATATTTTAAGACATTTATTTTTAGGAACAAACATGTGTTTCGACTTCTTAAGGGTAAATGAGTATGCATTTAAGTGTGTTGTGTAAGTCTAAATGCATCCTTGCAGATATAAAATATTTTCATTGGAGCACATTCAGGAGGAAATGATAGAAACTGGATACAAGGGAGGAACCTCTGGTTCAACACTGTAGGCTGAATGCGTACATCTGTCTCCCTTCCTTCCCAATACTCCCCGAGAACAGTTTTAATAAACCACCCATAACAGTGCAGAAAAGGAGAGGGGACCACAATGGACTCATAATTTCAACAAATTACTGGGAGACAAAGAGCACATGGAACAAAGCTGAAGAACAGCCAGGATAGTTGCAAAAGGAAGTAAGAATCAATAAAACATCTGTCTACACACCAACCAGCGAGGAGGCAGGTGCACCCTGCCCAAGGCACCCGCACCACAGCTGCGATCCTGGGGTGGGGAGAGGGATAGGTCTCTTCCCTACAAAGATTAAATCAATTGCCTTGAGATAACTAGACCAGTTAGTGTTGCGTTCCTAGCTCCACTCATGTCGGCACGTAGAGGACGCTGAGCACCGCACCTGCTCACACTCATCAAGTCAGGTAAGACCTGCCTGGATGTAGAAAGTTTCTTATCATCCTGTCCATTCAGAGGAGACGTGGGTAACAGAGAATACCGTCTCCATTACCTAGAACCACTGGCCCTGTCCTTAACTCCTAACGGTGGGTGAACCGCGATCTCCACACAGACGGGGATAAAATGACAGCCTGAGAGACAAGGGCAGAACCGAGCCCAGGGCAATGGAAATAATTCAAGACATGATGAGAATTTAAACCAAAGCTAAACAAAAAACTTGCATAGCCTTGGAGAGAGAAGAGAACTGGTACATCCACGGATCCAAGACAACATGCCAAGAAAATGATAATTCGGAGAATAACAGAGCCTCCTTAGAAATTAAAGTTCTGGTTACCAAAAACTTTGGAATACAATACTAAGTGCATTTATCAGGACATAAACGCAAAGAAAGATACAGAAAACAGATGTAAAAAGATTAGAGCTCTAAAGACTTAATCCAGGAGGCCCAACCTCAAGCTGGCCAGGATTCTGAAAAATGTAAAAAACGGAGGAAGAAAATTATTCAAGAAATAATGTAAGAAAATTTCACAGAGCTGAAAGAGATGGTAAGATCCAACAAATACTGAGTGGCAAGGATTAAAAATAATAAGAATTAAGGAAAAGCCATGTTTGTATATATCCGTAGGAAATTTCAAGCCAGAAAGAATAATGAGAAGATTCTAAAGACATCTGAAAGGGGAAATGGTGTTTGACTTAGAGTAGGGACGCCAGATTTAGCAAGTAAAACTACAGCCCATAAAATTAATTTTGAATTTCAGAGAAGCCGTCAATAATGTATTAGTATAAGTATGCTCAAAACATCACACATCTCATGGGGCATACTTATACTTAAAACTTATTTGTTGATTACCTTAAAATCAAATTTAGCTGGTAACTTATTTATCTGACAACCCTACATTCAAAGAACTAGAGAGTCAGGTTTATAATACAAATATCATCAGAAACAGTGGAAAACAATGGCACAGTGTCATTACTATTCTGAGGAAAAATTATTTTGAAGCTAAAATTTAATCTCCGGTCAAATGTGAAAGACTATTTACCTCCTATGGATTCATTCCTCAGCTCAGTTCCTTGAAGCTGTATTTCAGCCCAATGAGGGTTGAAAATCAAGAGAAGATATGTGATAAAAGATGAGGGAATTACCCCAGGAGTCCAATGAAAAGAAATCTCCAAATCACAGATATTTATCAGATCTAGAAAGAAACCAGTTTCTACTACAACAGAAAACAATATCTTCAAGATATCTTCAATTTAGAAACATTATCTTCAAGAAGGAAAACAAACCAGATTCTGAACAATAGGCAGAGTAGGTAAGAAGAACGGAGACACTAGCATATCCTAAGGAAGATATATTTTTAGTCTCATCCACCAAAAATAAAAGACAGTTGAAAGCTCCAAGCAAATATGCAACAGTACAAAAACGTTCTGCTCAGGATATGAAGCAAACCAAAATATGACATAATTTTGAGTGGAGGGAATATAAGAAAAGAGAATCTATTTAACCTTAACTAGGAACATCTTTCCCCAGGTAACACCAAGATTGTAATATGGGACTAGCGCACGGCTTGGCTCTGAATTGAACAACAATTACGTCGTCCCAAATTTTGATTCTAAAAGTTAAAAATCCACTAAACCCTGATATCGCAGTGTTCCATTGTAATGTGCCCCGTCTGTGGGGTTACATCGGTCTTTTCCAACTTGAAGACTTTGGAGCCAATGTTTGGGCTCTTGAATGATCATAAATTTGCTGAGAAGGATATAAGACTTGGTTCCCATGCACATCATTTTCTAGAGACTAAAAATATTATTTCTCTCCCACATATATTAATTATTGTACATAGATTGTTATTTTCCAAGTACAAATCTGTTAAAAGTATTCATAAACAGATGATTTTTGCCATTGTATACACACATTAGCTACTGATTGAGAAAATGCAACATGAAAAGGAGAGGCCTTGTGTTCAAACACATTGGGAACCACTGACCTAACCAATCCGCCTCCCTAGCACGTGGTAAAGTGTAACGCGAACAGCAGGTGGCTCAATAAATGCTTACAAATTCAACAGGGGTGACAAAAACCAAGCGTCACCATCTCAGGAACATGCCTGTTCCAAATCCCTCGGCCTGCCCCAGAAAGCCAGGCTAGGAAATCCCAGTTCGTAGAGTCTTCCCAGAGTCGAATGCTCCTTGGATCACAGGCAAGCCACAGCTCAGAGATCTCCTGGATCCAAACAACGCAACGGACCAGCCACACTCGTCATCACCTGCTTAAGTCAACTAGTTGGTGGAGTCTATTAAAACCCTTAATCTGGAAATGGGAATGGTCCATTATGCCAGCAACATTTAGACCACAAGTGAATGCCAACCTCAGCAGGGGTCAGACTCAATAGGTAAGTTTTTATGGTTATGGGCTTGAGTTCTCATTTTCACCTAATTGACAGGAGCATTTCACTAAAAAGATATATGAGGTGTCATGGCCAGCCCCAGGTTCTCCCCTCCCGATAGCTCCTGCGATGGCGCAGGTCGACTCAGATAAGGTCATCGGTCATCCGCCCATGGCGCTCTGGTGGAGAAATACATCGAGTGCTTGTCCTCGTAGGACTGCAGTGTTTCTAACGGGGGTGTTGTGAGTATTCACTGAGCTCAGAGCGAACACTGAGCACAGAACCAGGCTTGTTCCCACGTCTCTCTGAAGACCTGTTTTATTCAGGGCTGTAGCTAGGTCTTCCATCGGAGACTCCAGCCAGGGTTATTTCAATGTCCCCGCTGCACGGTGTGCGACCAGCTGCCCATCGCAGGCCATTGGAAGGAGGAAGGAAATAAAGAAGGAGCCCACGAGTCTGGCTACCCACCACTCTTCCCATAATCACCCCACACAACAAGCTCTCTGTGCAGACCCTGCAGTACAGGCTCCCCAACCTTTTAAAAGAAGGGCTTTATTTTCACTTCTCCGGAGCCTTGGAATCCTCCAAAGGAGGGGAAGCCAACTCTGAGGCGCCCCAGTGGAGGGGGCACGTCCGCGGGCCGAGTTTTATTTCCAAGAGGAAAAGCTTAAATCCCTGCCGCCTGAAACTCCCTCCAGTGAAGTCAGCGTGTCGTCCATGGTCCTGCCTGTTCTCAGAGGCCCGGCTCTGAGGAAGGAAAAGAAGAAAACGGACACGAATCGAGTATTGACTACTCTCACTCATAGAATTCGTTGCATTTGATCCTTCTGACAGCCCTGCAGGTTGGAGGAAAATGAGGCTCAGAGACTTCAGTAACTCGCAGAGGTGACTGCTCTACCAACAGCCTTGTCTGAATTTGAACTCAGGACTGTGATGACCTGCACTTCATTATTAGTAAGGGCCATTTAATTTGCTTCACGGAAATTGGTCGAGGTCTTTCTGTGTGCCAGGACCCATGGGAAACGGTAAATGCGTAGATATAGAAGAGGACAAAATAGATGAGTCTCTGCTCTCGTGACACCTAGAGTCCCCCAGGGGAACTGGCTCATGGAACTGCTTTCCGTTGATGTACGTTATCATCTTCTGGGGCAAAAACCAAGGGTCGAGCAAGTTCCTCAGGGTTTGCGAGACCTTCTGATTGGGTACAAGTCATGCCGGCAGATGAGACAGGTGCTGCTTCCTTTCTGCACCACCAAGAGCTTACAGAGTTGGCTCTTTACAGGTACTCCAGCTTCTGCCACGAGAAAAGAAAAAGCTGCAAAAAAATCTGAGTTTTCACAGAGCTGGGAGCCTGCCTTCCCTGCACCCTCCATCGAAAGCGTCTGAGGGTTAACAAAAAGTCATTTGTAGATTTACCTCGATTCCCAGATGATAAAATCCTGAAGAACAGAGACTGTCTTATTAATGTTTGAATCTTCTCCAGTACACAGAACCCTCGGAGTTCCATAAATGTCTCTTGCACTGAATATAATGAACTAATTCAAAAGAAGAAATGTCTGGTGTTTCTTTCTCTAAGAAGCAGTGACTTTCCCTGTGGCAGAAACATTTACTAGAGACCAAATATGCACCGGCCCCCTCATCTCCCAGCACCCTCGCTGTTAGGCAAGGGCATGTGACTAGTCCTGGGCAATAGTCTCTAAACAGATGCACTGTATGTCTTTCTGGGACAAACTCTTTTAAGGGCTGGTCAGCAAATTTGGCTCCTGTCTTCCCTTGCCATGGTGACAAGTGATGTTTTGGATGGAGGAGCCTTTATCATCCTGAATCCCTGCATGCCTGTGTGGAACATAGCCCCTGCCCCCTAATAATGCATGTTGGAATGATGTAGCAAAAGTGAAAATTAACCTTTCTACATTCGGCCTTGGAGATTTCAGGATTAATTTGTCATTGCAGGCTAGCCAGGTCCATACTGAGTAAAATAGCCCTCCACTATGAACATCCAAGAGATACTTTGGATGGGGCTAGCTCTATTAGTCTCCGGGGAAACTGTCTGGGCTGAATCACAGGATCCGAGAAGATAAGCAGGACCCATTTATGGAAAACAGCTAAGTCAAATGGAGGCACCGTTGGCTTAGAATCCACTGATGGTTCTCCCCTGCATTTGTGGACCCCTGTGGGTGCTCCAGAGTGCCCCCAGAGCCAGGGGTGAGGCGAGGAGGGCAGAGCCAGGAAGCAGAGAGATTTCATGTTTCCCTGTGTTTTACCTTGGGCTTCCTCAGAAGACTGTCAAAAGATTTGATTTTAATAGTAATGGGTTTTAGTGGGTGTCTTTTTGTTTGTTTGTTTGTTTGTTTGTTTGTTTGTTTGTTTGTTTAAGTTTGGAAGTCACCGATAAACCATCAGCACATTCACAACGGAGAAAAATAGATAAGATCAATATGACTATTCTAGGTAGGAAAAAAAAAAGATGGAAGCCAAATGTAAATCATACTCTGCTGGTCCCAAATAATTTTCATCTGGGTTTCAGAAAAGACTGTTTTCTTCTCACTTTTCAATTCATCTTCAACTTCAGAGGTGAGTTCCTTTTCTCTCTAATAATTATTTTGAAAACTTACTAGCCGTCTGCCCCTTGTTAGTGATTGCAATTGACGTCCTAAGAGAATTATTTATAGACAGTGTGGTCTACCAGAAAGAGCCCTGGCCTTTGGTATCTGGATGAGCTCTCGTCCATCCCTGGATTTTCTTTTTCTCGTTGGAAAAAAAGAAGATGGAGGTGAGAGTCGATGAGAAATTTTTTATAAGAAATGTATATAAACAGACCTGGAAGTATTTGCATGTCTAGAAGGTCCCCTCAGAAATGGGTGTATGCAAAGAGACGTTGGCAGGCTGCTCGCACGCTGTTTCTTGAACGCAACACAAGGAATTATGGGACCCCTTTCAGGTCTGGCCACCATGGCCCCCAAGTGCCTGGCGGGGCTCTCAGCCAGCCTAAGCAAACAGCCTGTGCTGCGGCATACTGGTCCTGCTTTCGCTGGGGGAAATAAATCAAAGGGAGACACTTTGCTCATTAATTGGAAGTTATTTCCCTTTCAGTGCTGTTAAGAGAGCCCCGCAGTGACCACTTCACGGAGGCTAAGAACAGTAGTGTGGAAACCAGGTAAGTGTTTCATTGCCTTATTGTCCAATTCCCTAAAAATTAAAGGAAATAAGAAATGGAGACACACTGCTGCCCTAGTGTTTCCCTCAGTATTCAAAGCCCAAACTAAAATCTGCTCCTTTTAAACTCAGAAAGGCCAGAGAGGATTAGGTGGAGTGTGTGAGCATGCACACGCACATGCATGCACACACGCACATGTGTGCACACACGCACGCACATGCACGCACGCACATGCACACACGCACACACATGCACGCACATGCACACCAAGAACACATTGATCTGTTACTCCAGCAACTCGTCTATTTAGGGTTCAGTTGATACACTACTGCATTAATACTTGCAAACTGAGCTACCTAACTTGCCCACCTTTATGTTCTCGTAAATATTAAAAATAGAAATTAGTTTCTGTAAGCCTGGTAGTCAGTTAACCGACACCCGGAAAATAAAATCACTGTGCCCCCGCAGGGGCATGGAAATGCCAGAACAGAGACCTGACTTGCCAGGCCGCTCCTGGGCTTTGCACAAAGAATGTCATTGACACGCCTGAGCCCACTGACATCTTTGCGGGTTCTTTGTGTCTGAAAAGTGTCCTTGTTCCAACTGCTCTATCCGAAGCCCCACAACCTCACGCAGCGCCTCCAGACAGGGCTCCTTCCTGGTCTAGCTGCCCTGACTCACTTACCCAGGGGGGTTTTCTCCAGCAGGTAGAGATAGCTCTGAAAGAAGTCATTGCGAATGGCTTTGTGAAGGACAAAGGACATACTATGTCGACAGAGTTCATCATCGGTCCTCTGCCAGCGGGATCTGAAGGCGAAGTGGGCTCCCAGGTGGGCCATGGAGAAGGGGGGCTTGTTATTCCCACAGAGAGAGGAAGCTCGCTTGGCTGTTCCTTTGAATCTGCTCTCCCTTCCTACACGAACTTGAGACTGTCACTTTACACCAGTGGCCTGCCCATCTATATCAGGACAGGCCACATGGGGCCGGGGGAGGGGCTCAGGCACCGAGGCAGGTTCTTGGCTCCTCCACCCGTCTGATTGCTTGGGCGACACCACTCCAAGCCAGCAGGTGCTAAGTGAAGATGGAAACCGGCGGAGTGAGATCCTGCCTCAGCCGGGAAACAGCACGTCTCCCTCCTTCAGCTGCCCCCTCACAGGGCAGCAGCCACAGCCTCCAGCGCCCTGAAGATTTGCCCTCACTGATGCCTCCACGCAGTAGCCTCATTTCCATTTCAAAGAGTCGTGACTATTTTGCGAGAGATCCCGTTCCCTGACTTCCATCCACTCCTCCTGGAACACGGAATCCTCAAGTTACAAGGGCCCTTCAGCGTCATCTGAGCCACCCACACCCTTTCATCAGGCCAGTGTCCCCGAGTCATCTCACAAAGATGGATGTGTGTTTCCCATTTTGAAGGGTCTTCAAGAGACATAAGTATATGAAAGCCCGTTCTGATGTTAAACGCCCTTCTGTCAGCAAACTCTTCCATCTCGCTTGCCCCAAACAACACCGCGTCGGGAAGCCGGCTCCTTCCGCTCTGCCTACGGTGGGTGTGCTCTTCCTCCTAAGTGCTCATTTGGTTCCCGGACTGAGTATCTTCCGACTGTCCTTCCAGGTCTGTCCCGGTCTCTCCACAGGACTGTGTGCCCCAGAGGCTGAGCTGTGTTGACCGCATCAGTGGCCTCTCTGGCCCTCTGGCTTCTGGTTGGGTTCATCCAATGGGTAGTGCTTTCGGGAGCCTGGGGGGGAGTGAGTCAGCTATTATTCCCCTGAACCTTCCCGTGGGGACGCCGGAGCTGACTGCGCAGACAGCGGAAGCCCTGGCTCCCGTCTGGGCCGTCTGGGCGTCTTCTCTTCGGGTTCCGGGAGCTGCTCCCACCTCGCTGCTCCAGGCTTTGGGTTAGTGAGGTACTGGGCTGTTGCAAACCTCGGAGAAATCACTGCTCCTTGTAATTTCCCTATACTCACCCACACTTTGTAAATAGTCCCTTTATTAAACCCACTTAAATTCTCAATTTGTGAATGCCATCGGTTTCCCGTAAGGACAATGCCTACCATACTTCCCGTTTAACGTTCCTAACAAGAAAGTCCACAAGAACTCAATATTCCATTGGCCCTATGCCCCGTGCAACCACTGAGCACCCCATGTCCCCAAACAGACACACACACACACAGTACACACAAATGCACACATTATAGCAGACAGTTCTAAGACAGCCCCTGGAGATCCCTACCTCCTGCCTGATATTCATGCCTTTGTGTAATCTCCTTTCCTGAATGTGAGCTAGACCTACTGCCTCCCTTCTACACAATACAATACGACAGAAGTGATGGATGTCACTTCCGAGATTAGGCCACGAGAAGACTGTCGTGGGCGTCTTCTTTGGTCTCTTGCTCACTTGCTCCGAGGAAAGCCACCTGCCTGTTGTGAACTGCCCTGCAGAGAGGCCCCCATATCTAGGGACAGAAGCCCTTTGGTGCAACAGCCCAGGAGGAACTGAATTCTGTGCCAACCATGAGTGAGCTTGGAAGAAGGTCCTGCCCCAGCCAACCCGGTAAGAGACCTTGAGCCAGCTAAGCCACACCCAGGTCACTACCCGCAGAAGTTAATGTCTGTTCTTTCATGCAGCTAAATTTTGAAACAGTTTGTTACAACACCGCAGAGCATCGCTAATTCACACATCATCAGTAAAATGTTTTTAAGATGTGGAATCTAGCCATGATCTTTCTTTAAATCTAACGGGTGCATTAATCTTTTGCTCGGACCGGGCGCCAGGATTCCATTGGCTTGACTCTGACTTAGGTTCCTTTGCTTCTATTTTCCCGTTTTCCCTCGTCCACCTCAAGGGGCAGCCATTTAACTGGGGGGAGGGGCGGTTGTTTCCATCCGTGCCTCAGACCGCAATCCGAGCTATCCATTTCCCCCTTGCCAGAGTGTTGGTTGATTGATGAGGGCATCGTCCAGTCCCGAGTCAATCAGTACACGGTGTTCCTCCAGCTCCAGTGTCCCTGGGAGAGTGGGCACATCGTCCAGGTCTGCTATTGTGGATGCTTGCTTGAGTTGGGTTTCTGTGCCAGCAGCACGGAGTTGGTCTTCCTAACATATGATACCATCTTGCCTCACTTTTACTCAAGACATTCTCATCGGGATGGAGATCATGTAGATGATATCACACAGAACAGGAAACGTCGAACGAGAACATTTCCTGGAGTTAAGAATCAAGGTTCTTAACTGGGATGTAAAAGAACTGGCTGAGAAACTGGTTTCCACCCCTCACACCCGGGGCCACTCGGACAGAGTCGCAGTCCCTGAGCCCCACTTCCCTCTGCTGTGATATGAAGACGATGGTAAGAGTACCCACCTCGTGACTGTCGTGGGAATTAAATGTGCTCTGTGGAAGCCAGCACAGTGCCTGGCACACGCGACGTATTCGAGAAATGCTATGGTTTAGCATTGCCACCTTTGGAAACGAGTGGGTGATGAGTTATAGGTCTTGAAAATATTTATTCGATTTATCTTTATTGTGGAAAGTATTACAGATATCCCTCCTTTTTTATTCCTACTGACCCCCTCCACGCTCTGCCCCCCCCCCTTCACCATTGGTCATGCACCTATGCGTATGAGCTACTTGGTTTATACCTCACACACCCCTCCCCCGCTGCCCCTCCCCCCTGCCTCTGAGGATTGTCCGTCTGTGCCCTATTTCCCTGTCTCTGGATCTGTTTTGTTCGTCAGTTCATTTTGTTCACTAGATTCCACAAATAAGTGAGATCACGTGATACTTGGAAGTATGTTACATCTCTCTGGGTCTTGGGTTCTGTTCCGTGTGACACTGCCTTTTGCGGAATGTCACCAGGTGTTCAGGAGCTGAGAGGAACTTCAAAGGCAGTGTGCTCTGAGGGCTCCTGCATCTACGTTCCGAGCTCCCTGCGGCTGTAGGAGAGCTCAGGGTCTTCTCTGCTCCTTGTCTTCATCAGGGCGTGCAACAGGAGGCAGGTTCTTAACCCCAACGTTTAGCGATGTTTGGATAACCCCTCCTGCTAACCCCTCCTGCGCTGAGAGGGTCAGGGTTGGGTCCTAGGAGAGAGACGGGCCGTCGCTGACTTCAGCTGCTCCGTCTCCCTTGTTTGGTGACTGGTGTCGGCAAGTTGCTCCCTGTTTGCAGAACTGATTTTCTTTCACTGTAAAATGGACATTGGTCCCTTGTTTGGCGGTGGACTCCGAGGTGATCGAAGAGCTGTATTCCGGGGCCATAACTTCTGGGCGGGGATGCAAGGCCGTCGGGGATCACAAAGGGCCTCGGTCAGCTTCTGCCGATCTGTGAGTCGCACTCGGCTGTGTGACCACGTCTCCCACCAGCGTAGCTCGCGTCCCTGCACTTGTTTCCTGGTGTGAGTACATCTCCTGTCGCAGCTGAAACGCTCTGCTGGCTGCCACCTCACACCGCTCGTGGCCGTGCTCACACCGAGCGGATGAGGCTCCGCTCGAGTCTGGCCCAGTTGCAAGGCCGGAGGGAGCGCGGTGCGTGGAGGAGAGAAGCCCGGCCGCGGCACGAGCCGGGGGATACTGAACCCATCCAGGCTGGCTTGGCTTCTCGCCAGCGATCCTTTGGTGAGGGGTGAGCTGCTGTTAAAAACGAAACTATCCTGGGAGAGACTCAGAAGTAAGAACGATGACGGGAGCACAAGTACGCGTAGAAAGTACGCTTAGTTAGTAGGCGAGGAGCTGAATGCTGGGGGAAACCTGCTCCATGCAAAGCACCTACCACCCTAAAGTGTCGTCATACTGTGAACTGAGGTCCAGGAGATTCCTAGGTGAGCCCCTGTTTACCTTCAACTTGTATTGTTCAAGACGTTTCCCCGGAGAACACGTTCCTTAGGTAATCACGGAACGCCTGCTGTTCAATTTGGCGAACAATTGGGTCAGTCTCTTTGACAAGCTACTGTGGTAGACTCTTGATAAAAAGTAAATGTTATTTTCTTGTTGCGAGTAACATTAATTTGCTGATACTTCCAATAGCAATGATACCTAAGTGCTTTAAATAGCAATGCTTACTGAATCCCGAGAACAATGCTAGGAGGTCTACCTGTTTTCCAAGTGCAGAAAATGGGGCTTAGGGAGATTAGGCTTCAGCTCAACATCACACAACAAATGAATCACCGCATCAAAATTTGAACTAGAATCTGAATATATAAATATGTATATATACTTGGTGGCTGGAATAAAAATAATCTGTGAACAGCTGAATAAGGATTTCCCAGCTCCCCACTCAGGGAGATAGCTTTCAAAGACTGAAACAATAGGCCGAAATCATCGGCATAATTACCTTTCGGATAAAATTATCAATGTATGTCTTTATATACAGGTTTCAGTGAAAATTAATGGTGAGAATACAGAAGGGGTCTTTCTTGCCGGATCAACCGAACGTGTATTTGTGCTGAGATGGGCGTTTAAGTAGACTTTAAGCCTGGAGTGAGAGACCAGTGTGCAAAATTGTGCCAAGAGCCTTCCCCGTGGGGCTCCTCGTACGGACCACCAGGCCTTACTTCACCCCATACTCATCCAACCTGACGCGGAGGGTTTGCCTGTTTCCTTCTCACGCTTTAAGAAACGGGCGCCTAATCAAAGTTAGCCCTGACCACACCTGGGAAGCCAGGAGCAAAGCCCATCGCCTTCCCGGTGCTTGGAGTATGTGGCACCAGGGGGGCTGAGAGGACCTGGTTTCATCCACTCGGGCCGCCTGGAGGAGAACAGCCTGTCCACTGGGCGTCTGAGCCAATCAGATTCAAGGTCAGCAGTCGGGTCTCAACTTAACAATCGTTATTAAATGAAAATGGGGCTTGAGATAAATGACCCTTCGCAGCTGAAGAAATATTTAAACCCATAATTTTCAG